GCTCCTTACTGGAAAAAAAGTAAGAGTTTAGTTTAGTCACTTTAGTGTCAGTTTGCTTTATTTTGTCATTTAAAACATCACAGATGTAATGCAGAACAAAATGACATTATATGGACACAGCAGGAACACAAAAAACTAACATTTATGAAGAACAACTTCACAAAAATAACATAATTAATAGTTTTTTTTAAAGTTCATAAGTATTTAAAAATATAGATATTCAGTTAAAGTCAAAATGATTCGCCCTCCTGTGGTTTCTTTTTTTCTTTTTTTAATATTTCCCAAATGATGTTTAACAGAGCAAGGAAATTTTCACAGTATGTCTGATAATATTTTTCTTCTAGAGAAAGTCTTATTTGTTTTATTTCTCTAGAATAAAAGGTTTTATTATTTTTAAAAATCTATTTGATTGATATTGAGCTATTTATTCAATTTTCTAGAGCAAACCATCATTATACAATGATTTGCCTATAGTTTAAAGTCACTTTAAATATATTATCAGTTAAAATAAATCTTTAATCTTTTTTAAAAAATCAGTTATTAAAACCAGTATATTTAGAAATGTGTTGAGAAAATCTTTAAAAGTGCTTTCACACTAGCGCTTTTGGTCTGCACCCGGGTTCATTTGAAGTCAGAGTTCAGTATGTTTGGCTAGTGTGAACGCTGTTTTCTGAACTCGATTGAGGATCTGCCAACCATTCCCACTTCTTCATGAAAGAGGTGGTCTGGGGTACAGTTAGCGCAATCTCTGGTATGGTTCACTTCTGATATGAATGCATTCATGCATTTTGCTTTGGCTTAGTCCCTTTATTCATCAGGGGTCACCACAGTGGAATGAACCACCAACTTATCCAGCATATGATTTAGGGCATATTTTTATCCGAACGGTGCCCAGGCCCATTTCCCAGATTGTTTGGGAAGTGTGAGTGCTCTGAATCGGGCTCAGGCACGGTTCACTTGGCTGGCCCTGGCCTGGTTGGGAGAGGTGTGCCAGAGCGTGGTTCACTTGGGCTTTGACGTGGTACGCATGAAGTTTGAGTGCAAAGTGTGCCTGAGCCCAAAAATAAAGACTAGACATGACTTTTATGGGACTGTTTGATATGGATTAATTAATCGTTCGTACTGTTCAATGAACGCAAACTGTTGATTATTAAAGACGCAAACCCCTCACTGCACTAGAGCTGCACCTTCAGCAAACCTCCTAATTCCTGCAGCACGAGGACTTTATGGTTGTTCATGTGCGTCAAAAGTGGCTGATCTGTTCGGCAAAATATTTAACTGTGTGTCACTGCATATCAAACAACTTAACGATATGAAAGTTCTTAACGATGAAAGTTCTTAATGAACAGCGCATCATCGATGACGTAAGCGCACCCAGGTACTCGAATGTAATGCGAGTGTGGGCCGTCGGGGGAGACAGGAGGGGGGACAAGCGTGCTTTGGCCCGGTTCAAGGCAACTGTACATAGTGTGAGTACGACCTTACACAGTCAATGCCCTTCCAGCTGCAACCCAGTACAGGAAAACACCCATACACTCTCACATTCACACACATACACTATGGACTATTTATCTTACCCAAATCACCTATAGCGCATGTCTTTGGACTGTGGGGGAAACCAGAGCACCCCGAGGAAACCCACGTGAATATGGGGACAACAATCAACTCCAGCTGCCAATTAGCTCAGCTAGGACTTGAACCAGCAACGTTCTTGCTGAGAGGCAACAGTGCTAACCACTGAGCCACCGTGTCGCCCTGACATGAATTTAATCGTACCAAATAACGGAAGTGAACCACAAAGATGACAAAGAATTCGGTTGACATGATGAACATCGATGCGCAACTCTTGGGTCTTGAACCATGCAAGCCAGTGGCGACAGCAGCGAGGAAAAAACTTCACTATTTGCCGAAAGTGAAGAAATAAAAAACCTAGAGATAAACCAGGCTCAGTTGGGTATGACTACTTCTCCTATGGCCAAATGTCTTGTGCAGAGCTGCAGTCTAGGCGCCGGAAGCTGGAGAGCACTGGACATCCATCGTGGAGAAGCTGCAGGTGGGAGAGGTCACAGGCTGGCGTACAGGCTTTCCCTTCAGGATCAATGTGAGGACTCGTCTGTCACTGGGGTCTTACAAGGATCAGTCTCATGCTCTCCACTCCTCCATAACCACCACAGCAGCTGCTCAGGATACGGCCTGGTCCATGATTATGGAAACCTCGGAAATAATAATAAACAAATTTATAAAATAAAATTTAAATTAAAAACTAACATGAGCCAAGATAATCTCTTCAGGTAAGTGTTCCCAGCTCCAGTTGCCCTAAATAATGTAGAACAACAATCCTTTAGAGGATTTGGATTTCAACAGTCTTTGTATTTTGTGTATGCTAACGCAGAGATGTGTCTTTTCCAGTTTTAAACTAACAGAGTTTGTCTGCTTCCCGAACTGTGCTAGGAAGGCTGTTCCAGAGTTTAGGTGCCAGTTAAGAGAAAGATCTATCGCCTACAGGTGATTTTGATATTCTGGGAATAATCAATAGTCCAGAATTAATTGAGCGTAGTGGACGTGAGGGGCTTTAATACACCAATAGCTCCCTCAAATACTGGGCAGCTAAGCCGTTTAGGGCTTTGTAAGTTGTCAGTAAACATCAACAGAGAAGAATGGCCACACCAAACGTGAAGGCAATGGTCAGATTTTGATTGAAGATTACCAAAAGCAAACTTTTTTAAATTGGATAAACTTGCGCAAATTGACTGATCACACTTGTAAAATGAAAATTTCACATGGACTTTAAATGTCATCTTTATTTCTTTGTCAAAGCAGCTTTACATTGATTAGAAAAAATAAAAACAAAACACTATAACATTACAGATTGTGGAACATTTTAGCATATCAGTCAGAATTCAGAGTGATGGTAGAATGCTGGTGCAGTTTAATACAAATGTCTCTATTGAAGGATGAGCCGCTTAAAGGATAGTTCACCCAAAAATGAAAATGACCTAATCATTTATTCTGCCTCATGAGATTTTAAACCTTCACAAGTTTCTTTCTTCTGTTGAACACAAAAGAAGATATTTTGAAGAATGCTAATTGATGGTAAAGTCAATGGGTGCCAGCATACAACATTTTTCAAAACATCTTCTCTGGTGTTCAACAGAAGAAAGAAAGTCAAACAGGTTTTCCTTTTTGGTTGAACCATCCCAAAATAGAGCATAATATTTTGTAGGAATACTGTACGCTGTATGTAGTCTGATCTGTCTGGGAGTTGCCAGCACGTTCACTTTGCCTAACTAGATTAGAGTTACATAACGAAAGTGCTATTCTGATCGCCGGCCCATGCATGGACGTGCTTTAGCCATGAGTAAATAGCTCTTGTAAAATATCCCTCTTTTGATACACACAACAGGTGCTTTAACACCGCCACATGTTTTGTCGTCTGCTGTCAACCTTTCCTGTCTATTCATCCCTATGCCAGGACTGTAGACAGACTCTGCACCAATACACAGAAACAAAGCTACACTCTTAATATTGTTACTGACTGTAAAATGTTTATTAGCGCATTTTACACTACCTGACAAAGGCCTTGAGGTTGATTCCAATTGTAAGAGAAACAAATAATAACTTGACTTCTAGTTGATCATTTGGAAAAGTGGCAGAAGGTAGATTTTTACAATAAATCATGTTCAACTGCTTCCCAATCATCACAAATACTGCAGAAGACCTATTAGAACCCACATGGACTCAAGATTCTCACAGATATCGGTCAAGTTTGGTAAAGGAACAATCATGGTTTGGGGTAACATTTAGTATGGGGGCATACGAGAGATCAGCAGAGTGTATGGCAACATCAACAGCCTGAGGTATCAAGACAAATGTGTTGCCCATTACATTACAAACCACAGGAGAGGGCAAATTCTTCTGCACGATAGCACTCCTTCTTATACTTCAGTCTCCACATCAAAGTTCCTGAAAGCAAAGAAGGTCAAGGTGCTCCAGGATTGGCCAGACCAGTCACCAGACATGAACATTATTGAGCGTGTCTGGGGTAAGATGAAGGAGGAGGCATTGAAGATGAATCCAAACAATCTTGATGAACTCTGGGAGTCCTGCAAGAACGCTTTCTTTGCCATTCCAGATGACTTTATTAATGAGTTATTTGAGTCATTGCAGAGATGTATGAATGCAGTCCTCCAAACTGATGGGAGTCATACACAATATTCATTCTTTTTCCACTGCACCATGACTTTATATTCTATACTGTACACTATATCAGTTGAATGACAAGACTTTTTTCTAAGCAAAGTCAGACCTTATTGTCTTATAATTAAATAACTAAAAATCAAGGCATGATCGTATTTTGTTTGGGTAAAATAAGCGTAATCTAGAGGCCTTTGCCTTTCATATAAGCCACTTCAGATACCAAATGATCAACTAGAAGTCAATTAGTGTTTGCTGTTCATAAAACTGGGATAGGTGACATGACTTTTTGTCAGGTACGACTGCATGATGTCTCAGTGCAGTCACCTCTAATAAATCAGAGACTAAGCTGAAGGAAATTGAATGAATGAATGAATGAATGAATGAATGAATGAATGAATGAATGAATATACAGCACAGTAAACATACAAACAAGACAGATGCATTTATAGAAAATTCCAGTCAGAGCAAAGGATAGATAGATAGATATAGATAGATAGATATAGATAGATAGATAGATAGATAGATAGATAGATAGATAGATAGATAGATAGATAGATAGATAGATAGATAGATAGATAGATAGATAGATAGATAGATAGATAGATAGATAGATAGATAGATAGATAGATGGACGGACGGACGGACGGACGGACGGACGGACGGACGGACGGACGGACGGACGGACGGACGGACGGACGGACGGACGGACAGACAGACAGACAGACAGACAGATAGATAGATAGATAGATAGATAGATAGATAGATAGATAGATGCGGTCTAATACCAATGACACTGGACTGGATTTGATAATTGAATGTTTTATTGTATCGGTAGAACTGTGATGTTCAAATAAAAAAATTAATACAAATATTTTTCAAGACATCTGGCAATGATACTCTATTACAGACTATAGCAAACTGACTACATATGTCTGTTGTATATAATCATATAAATGCATATTCTGATTTCTATATTTAATTAGAAATACCCATGCAGGTGAGCAAACAAACAACTCAATATGATACGCAATATGGTTTCCACTCACAAAACAGCACAAAATTATAAGTCCCTTGGATATGAATGAACATACACTCTATACATTCCAATTTGGAAAAAGAGCCGGTTGAATATTGCGCCAATATGGCAAAATGATAAATCCACAAACTCTCAGATGCTGAGGACGGTTCACAATTAAACACACAGATTGTAGAATTCAAAAGATGGATTCTTACATCAGCAAAAATGTCCTGTGATTGAATAAATCGCCCTCAGATGACTTCACCAAAGATAGATAGTCCACAAGTATGCATGGTCCTTTTTTCGAAATCTGAATCTTCCTCCATTTGATCTTCATCTGGAGTTGAATATTTTGAGGCAGCGATTGAAAAAACTCCACTTCCAGTGCAGTCTCAGATATGCTGCTTAATCAAAGAAAGAGACACAATTCTTGATATCAACTAGGGTTGAGGCTGTGTTCTGTCTGTATTTATACGTGTGTGTGTTTGTGTGTGTACCTCAGTGTACAGTGGAGGAGGGGGGAGAGGATGATGAATCTGCATGAAGATTGGACTGTCATCCTCATCGTAATCATCCAGCAGAGGAATAAACGAACTATCCATGCGGTTGGAGATGTTGCTGTAGCTGGGTGGAGAAGACGGGAGTGACACGCAGGTACTAGAGGCGCTCTCCTGGCTGCTCATGCTGCTGGTGCGACTGTTCATGCCATTGTAGGGGATCGTCCCAATGACCAGGGGCAGTTCTAGGATCAGCTTTTCACTTCCTGGGATGTGCAAGTAGATCTAGATACCAGAGACAGAGAGAGAACATGTTAAACTCTGATCTGATTGAATATGAGGTGTCTGCATTGATTATTAAAGCAACACTTCACTTTTTTTTTTTTTTTTTGGAAATAGGCTCTTTTTACAAGTCAACAAGAGTTAAACAGATGAGTTTTGAAAGTTTTGAATCAAATCAGCCGATCTTCTGGTCTGACGGTAGAACTTTTAACTTAGCTTAGCATAATTCATTGAATCGGATTAGACCATTAGCATCGCCTTTAAAAAAACGTACAAAAGTCATGGTACGGCAGCAAAGTTCCTTGATTATTATGCTGCATAAGAGTATTGACCTTATTCTGAAATGAAAGAAGTGTGTTTACATAAGACACTTTTTTTGGCTTAAAATCATTGAAAGGGAATAAGACTGGTAGTCTTAAGCCATTAAGGTTCTAATGTCTACGCTTATTCTTACATGAAGAATATGGTAAATAGTTTCTAGACATATTGACCTAGAAAATTGCAACTTTACATTTCTTTTAGTCTAAGTATTTTTCTTAATTATCTCTACTTAGTAATTATCAAAACTTTTTGTTTCGAACAATGCTAATGGTCTAATCTGATTCAATGATTTATGCTAAGCTAAGCTAAAAGGGCTCCCTCCAGACCCGGAGATCGGCTAAATAGATTAAAAAAATGGTAAAACTCAAATGTTTAACTTAAGGAGAGTTGTAAAATTAGCCTATCCCCCTCTCCTCCCGAAAAAGGTGTAGATTCTTTAAGAATATAACTCACCCTTAGAGAGTAGTCGACGTGAATAATGTCACAGCCTAAGATGGTGGGCTTCAGCTTGGGCACACGGAGGACTCTGCCCTGCCAAATATCACCCATGCCAGAGATGATGTGGTTTCCCCTAACAGAAGTGAGTTTCTCTTCGAACACTTTGGTGCGACCATTGGCCAGGTAAATGTGCTTGGCTATGATGGCGGCTTTGGGAATGACAATCCGAGAGCTGGTGTTCTCGAACTGAGCATCGATGCAAATGTCTTCTCCTTCGCAGTAACCCTTGCGGCCTATGCTAGCAACTATTGAAACGCTGCCATCGGGAATAAACATGCAGGTGACTTTCTTCTGTTTCGATCCTTTAACCGGAGCCTACAATGAAGCAGGACGTACCAAATTACTATTTCATGTTTGAAATACATTCATATTTTAATAATATAAGTGACAAGTCTGGGATTAATCACCATGAGCTCTTGAGTGTTCACATCAATGGGTTCCACCACCTCGAAATATCGCTTGCATTCTGCAAACGTCTGGGATGATTTCTCCATGACTGCCCTCACGTAGTACTGGACTGAGCCAAACTTCCCCTCATAAGATGAAACTAAGCACCTAGAGATTTAGCATTAAAAATAATTATGTTAGAAATACACACACATATTTTTAGGATTAGTAATGATGATTTTCTAAAAGAAAACCCACCCTGACTGAGGAAGCTCGAACCCAAACATGAATTCGTATCTGTTTCCAGGCCTGAGAGTGATGGAGCCTTCATCATCTGTGGAGAAGAGATTGTTTTGAGAAACCTTTGAAACCCATCATTAAAATCCACAACATGTCTCACACAAATTTTCTCTCAAACACACTCAAAAAATGTTTATCAAAAAACTTGATTTTTAATTTAAAATGGCCCCCTTCCCACCCATAATCACTTAAGGTCAAGGTTAGGCCTTTGTCGTTAAACCATGATCACCACAAAACAATGGCTTTTCTAAACTAAACAGTTAATACTTGTTTTAAAACGTTTTAGTGACAATAAAAGTAAGATTTAAAGTTTATTCAGACTAAGCTAAGTAGCCTAGCCCTTATTTAGACAGTTGGTGCGTAACTGCTGCACTTTCTGCCTAGTCACTGTCATATATTGTAGATTTCTCAAATTTATTGCAACTTATTACAGTTTTAGTCAAGATAAATTTAGGAAAGCTGGTAGTTAATGCTGACCACCACAAATATCATTTGGAGAGTCGAACTAATTTATACGGCGTCCGGAAATTCCTGACAGGAAAAGTAGACTGAATTCACACGGAGCAGAGTTTGTGTCTCACCTGTTGTTGAATGATGATCAAGATGAAGAATTTCTTCATATTTCAGGTACTCAATCTCCTCGCTGCAGTGCAGTTTTCCCTTTTTATAATTGACTTTAGCGCATCCGACTCCGAACAGTTTGACGGCGGAGACCTTCAGCAGCTCCGCCACCTCCACGATCACCCGCCCGGCCACTTTATCTCCGCCGCTGTACGCGATCTTGTTTGGGTCACTCATTTGAACCTCGAAGGCCTTGGGTTTCTTCGTCAGTACGCCCATTTTTCTTTTTAAGCTAGTTTTTGAATAATTTTTACGATACTCAAATTAAAGGTACCTTCTGAGTTGTTTTAAAAGTGAATGAATCAGTTGCGCAACAAGCTCACCATTACGTTCTGATGTTATCTATTATAATACTATTTTAGATGTTTTGGAAATCTGTTGGTGACTATTCTGTCGGTAAACACTAAGTGGGAGTGGGTGGTTATATACTTCACACGGCCGCTCTGATGATGATGTGAGCTGGACACAGATATGGGCATCAGTGCTGGACACCCACATGCGCCCCGTGGATCGCCCCACGCGCGTCTCTCCCATAGGACGCAGGGGCTGTTTGCGTTCATTCGGGCCAATGACAGTCTGTCCAGAGCGCGTGGACAGCTCATGGGTAAGGGGCAGAAGTCGACTTGGAGGTGGAGTAATTATATGGAGCAGGGGTGGAGAATGAATGCGCACTGCATGGGCACATGATCCAAAACAATGTTATATGGACTCTCACACGTGTGGCATATGCATAATAGAGTGGGGTTCTTTATGCATAAGGAAGTTATTTGTTCCTAGCACCAAACATGTAAGTGTTTACGTACTGTTCAAACAGTAAAAGATCACGATTTTGGACAAACTAATTTAATTAGTATTTTTGCAAAATTACCCTAGAGTACCATGCAAATGCATGTTAAATATAAATACTGCCCCTGATACTGCCACAATAAGCTTATACCATAGTAGCAAATGGTTACTGCATTTGCAGTATGGTTCTAAATTGTTCTTCAGGTAATGCCAAGGTGCCCTGATACAGAATACCATGGCATCACCCTAAATCAAGGTATTAACTTGGTATCTGGTAAAAAAAAACTAGGTAACGCTTTTTTTTACAACCCGCAAAGTACCGCGTAAGTACAGTGAAATTACAGTGTACTTTTCTGTACGTACTGTGTAAGTATAATGAACGTATGTGTAGGTATGAGGGAACAAACCGTAATGCTTGGGTAAAAAGGGGGTAACAACCAGATGTTCATCACGAAAATGACCGCGTAAGTACAGTGAAATAACGGTGTACTTTTCTGTACCTATAGTGTAAGTATAAATAACGTTTACGTAAGTATAAGGGAACAAACTGTAATGCTCGGGTAATAAGGGGATAACAACCAGATATTTAGCATAAAAGGTACCGCGTAAGTACAGTGAAATAAGGTTGTACTTTTCTTTAAATTGCAAAAGAACAAACCATAATGTTTGCATAAAAGGGGAGTAACAATAAGATATCCATCACGCAAAGAAGTATATTAAGTTTACGATGTACATTTCTTCAAGTATTGTATACATATAAAGAATTATGCAAGGATGGTGACAACCTATTGCTATCTGCAAATGTACTGTATATGCACCTGCGTGAGTACATTAGTATTCTTATTCAGTGCTTGGGTTTTATATGGGGTGTTTAATGAATAAAAGGTTTACAACCTGTGAAATTATGAACACTTATTGTATACTGTATGTATTTTAAATCTGCAATTCAATATAAAATATATTTCCATACACTACTTACCTTATGTTTACTCGTCGATCTCACCAAAGCCATCAATGTCTCCATAACTCACTATCAACAAATAACTTTGCATGACATAGGCCTACCGTCAGGGTTCAATGCAGATTAAAACAGGCTCGCATCTTTACTGCTGTTGCACAGGGGGGCTAACTGTTGCATTTCAGTAAATGTATAGCTGATGCTTTATAGAAAAATCTAGTAATTTGGTCTTCAATCAATAAAAACTGCTGCTGTAGTTTACTCTGTTCTTAGTGTTCAAGTATACACTAGTATGTTAAAGTTCAGCTTCTTCCCTCTTTGTTCCCTGTAGTTAAAGGGTAAATACAGTATTTGTTCCCTCCTTGTTCCCTGTACTTACAGGGTAAATACCACATTTGAGGGTTGTAAATTAAAGTGAAGCTTTGTTCCTCCCTTGTTACCTGTACTTACAGGGTAAATACCACATTTGAGGGTTGTAAATTAAAGTGAAGCTTTGTTCCTCTCTTGTTACCTCCTTGTTCCCTGTACTTACAGGGTAAATACCACATTTGAGGGTTGTAAATTAAAGTGAAGCTTTGTTCCTCTCTTGTTACCTCCTTGTTCCCTGTACTTACAGGGTAAACACCACATTTGAGGGTTGTAAATTAAAGTGAAGCTTTGTTCCTCTCTTGTTACCTCCTTGTTCCCTGTACTTACAGGGTAAATACCACATTTGAGGGTTGTAAATTAAAGTGAAGCTTTGTTCCTCTCTTGTTACCTCCTTGTTCCCTGTACTTACAGGGTAAATACCACATTTGAGGGTTGTAAATTAAAGTGAAGCTTTGTTCCTCTCTTGTTACCTGTAGTTAAAGGGTAAATACAACATTTGTTCCCCCCTTGTTCCCTTTAGTTTACAATGTAAAATCTTAAAGGCAGTGAAATAAATATACAAACACACAATATATTTCTTCTTTACTTTGTAACCTTTATTTTAATAAATAAGCATTTTAAAAGACTTCATATTAATCAAACATTGTCTTGTCTATCATTGCCTATACTCATTCATTTTCTCTTCGGCTTTGTCCTTTTGTTAATCTGGGGTCGCCACAGTGGAATAAACCACCATCTTATCCAGCATATGTTTTACGCAGTGGATGCCCTTCCAGCTGCAACCCATCTCTGGGAAACATCCATACACACTCACTCACATGCATTCACTACGGACAATTTAGTCTACCCAATTCACCTGTACCGCATGTCTTTGGACTGTGAGGGAAACAGGAGCACCCGGAGAAAACCCACGCGAACGCAAGGAGAACTCCATGCAGAAACCTTCTTGATGTGAGGAAACAGCACTACCTACTGTGCCACCGTGTTGCCACCCAGCTGCAACCCATCACTGGGAAACATCCATACATACTCATTCACACACATACACTACGGACAATTTTACCTTACCCAATGTCACCACATATTTTTGGACTTGTGGGAGCACCCGGAGGAAACCCACGCTAACATGGGGAGAACATGCAAACTCCACACAGAAATGCCAACTGACCCAGCCGAGGCTCGAACCAGCGACCTTCTTGCTGTGAGGCGATTGTGCTACCCACTGCGCCTGCCTATACTCAAACAGCAAAATAACACATTATTTCCTTCCCCCTTTTTTTCTGGCATCTCTTGCTTGGCTTCCTCTTCTGCTCTTCTCAGCTTCCACTGAGGACTCTGATGGTGAGTGGCTGATGAAATCCCATGGGTCTTGCTGCTCTGCATTTATATAAAATATATGAACAGACAGAAAAGCTTTTAGTAAGCTATAGACATGTTTATTTTCCTGTTTAATGTGTGTATAGTGGTTGTCCAACAATTTCACACACTAAACATTTACAGATACCATACAGACACTATACATTACTATCAAACAAAAGTACTATCATCAGATCATATGGGAGATTGTGATCATTTATAGTGATAATAATTAAAGCGCAGAGGGGAAAAGGCTTAAATATATGTGCAGGCAGTATAGACTTTGAAGTAAAGATTATTTGCAGTTCAGTGTACATATTTAAATTCTGTGTCACTCATTAAATGGTAAGTAAATGTAACGTTTGGGTTAACTACCCCTAAGGTTAGTTTTTGATTAAAGTACATGTCTTAACCCATCATTAGTCCTAAATAAAGTGAAAGATAACATAATATGGTTGATGTACTGTTATGGACCCTTTTTACATTTCAGCAAAGTGAATGGGAAAGTACAACACATTTTTTTTACAATCTTCTTTGCTCAAATAAAATGAAAACTTTACGATGGTGTTGTCTCGACAATTAGAAAAATAAAAAAATAGTGTGAAACTGATAACGCCAGCAAGAAGAGAGAATAACTTCTAATTTACTCATGACCATAGACACTGTTTGAAACACCTCGCACATGCAATCATATTATATAATGCATACGTAGATACAAATAAATGGTATTTTATAAAAAAAATCATATAAAAAAACTCAAGGATTTTAGATCCTGATGATCGTTAAACGCGTCATAACAGTGTTGTGAAAAGGGTGTAATTGTTAAAAATAGGTACAAACATAAGATATAAACAAAAACCTAAACAAACACTTCTATGTACATAACGTCATAAAAATACTTGTTTTATTTACCTCGCGCTGCCGTCCTTGTACTGCCGTGAACAGGAAATTCTGGGAATGGAGGACGGAGAGTTGAATCGATTCGTCTTCAACAAACCGATCAGTGTGACATCAAAACATCGCGAGAACAACAGACAGCTCCGTGTGCATTTGAATCCATCTCGCGATATTGTATCACTTCAGGTACGCGCCTACTGATTCGTTGATTCAAACGAGTTGTGAATCAAGAAGCCTCTAAAGATCCGAATCAAACTGCAGCAGCACGCCACGAGGTTTTGCTCAGACTTTTGGGACGTTTGGAATTGCTCCGTCTTGTCACCATGTAACACATGTGAGTAAATCGTTGTCAGTAAATAAGGCTATTGTTACGATTAGAAATTGTGCATTAACCAGATTATATTTATTTTGTTTCATTTGTTTTTAGCGTAACATTAACGTTAGTTCATGGCCGAATCTAAACGGCCAGCAGCGAATATTTACCAATGTTTACTGTCGTTTACTTTGCACATCTTAGAAATGTTGCCAAAGTTCCTCTGGATTTAGTTTCTTCATGTCATTCCAGAAAGACTGGATGATGAGCAGGTCAGATCTCTGTGGCTGTTGTCATACTGACTGTGCAGACGATTTTCTCCCTTTATACGTTAATTACAGCAAAGTTAATGACAAAATTAATGTTTGGAAATGTAAATTGATATTTTCTGTAGCATGCCAGTTTGATATATCAATACCACCCCCCCCCCCCCCCCAATTACTAGTAACGTTTGCCTAGGACTTTAGCACAGTAGCCTACTATTTAAGCCTTTTCCCCTCTGCGCTTTAATTATTATCACTATAAATGATCACAATCTCCCATATGATCTGATGAAAGTACTTTTGTTTGATAGTAATGTATAGTGTCTGTATGGTATCTGTAAATGTTTAGTGTGTGAAATTGTTGGACAACCACTACACACACATTAAACAGGAAAATAAACATGTCTATAGCTTACTAAAAGCCTTTCTGTCTGTTCATATATTTTATATAAATG